CCCCCCCCCCCCCACTAGAAACAAATTGCATCTACAACCACTGCCAGGGATTCAGGTACCGGTAATTAGACGAGAAGACTTTTCGATCGAGTAATAAATATTTATAAATAAATTAAGAATTTAAAAATATGAAAGAAAAAAATAATTTAAAATTTAAAAATTCAATAATTATGTCATTTCTTCCACAATTCTATATTAAGGGAGCTAAAAACACAGTGAAGTTGATCGGAATTGCGCCTTGCATTTACACTTCGATGTTACACATAATATTCGTAATAGAATCGTAACCTTTGGCACAATGTCTTTTTTATACAATATTTTCAATTATGCGACCGATGTACACACTGCCATAGTGTCTACTTCATTCATACACGCACTTACAAATACGCCATGAATTAACGTGCAAACACACACACACACACACACACATACATACTTACAAAGAAGTAATACAAATATTGTTACACCTCTTGATGTATACAAATATTCTTACACAGTGTACGATTCGTAGTAACTATAGTTGAACTGCGTGTGTAGTGTGTGTCACGCGTGTACGTTCACAATGCATATTTCGCCCCTCCTCTCAATCTCTCTTACACACACTCACGAAAAAATACACCTCCCACTTATTGTTACTCTGTCGGATACCGGGCACGATTACAACGGTGAAAAGTATAAAGTATAATTACAAATAGCTATTCGGAAAATTAGTACAGAAAGAAGAGAATAAGAAAAAAAAAAAAAAAAAAAAAAAACTCAAAGGAAAAAAATTGCAGCACGACGAATGCGAAAAAAACAAAATATAATTGGACTTGAGTTTTTTCTCTCGTCGTTCACAGAATACTACGCACGCGCGCGCGCGTATGTGTGTGCGTATCTACACTTATATATACGTTCGCGGTGTAAATCGTAAAATATCCGGTATTGTTGCACGCGCGATTGCACCCAAACACCATATTACATAGCATGGGTCGGGAACCTGCGGCTCTGGAACCGCATACGGTGCAACATGCAATCTGTGGATCTTTGATAAATGCGTCAATATCGAGAACCGAAAAGTATAAATTATATATTATAAGTTTTTGTAGTGATAATATTTCTGAATTTCTTAACAACGATGTTTATTTCAGGTAAAAATAAAATAATAATTTATCTTTAATGACCACACAATATTTATTTATCATTACAATAAACTTTTCACCGTATTAAAACAAAACAATGCTGTGAACGAGATGTCTATAAAGAAAAAAAGTTTAAAGTTGATGAGGAAAATATAGGATTTAGAATTTAACGGACTGATACTTTTGCATTTATTCAATATGTTCTTACGAAAACCAAAATGTCTCATATGTGACGAAAACTTAAGACTGAAAAGAAAATATATAAATATTATCCAAAAGACTTTCTGGACATCACGGTTTTGTAACTTTTTAAAATGGCTCTTTTCTATAAAAAAAGGTTTCCGACCTCTGGTACTATTGTTAGGAATTATTTGTATTCTTATTGTTGTAGCAATGTCCGAGTCCGGTACACGATTATTAATCGTGAGCGGATCAGCGGAAGACCTGTTGGACGGACCGGATGGAACGATAATTAACATCGGCGTCCGCAATATCGTTTTCTAAAACCGAATGGCGATGTTCCACCAGCGATAATACAACAGACGAAATTCAAATTAGACGTAGTCGTAGGCAAATGACCTACGGAGCTTAAACAGCTAAATCAAATAGATACCTAACAATAATATATTTCTGCAAATGATTTCCGTATTGTTTGTAGATAATAAAATGATGTAAATAAAATATTAATGAAATAACAAAAACAACAAAGATAAACATAATAATGTGTAATATTTGAAACCCTCCGATAAACTGATAGCTTGTGGTGGAAGGATTAATAGTGTAAGGTTTACAGTAAATTATAACAATATAAATAATACTATTTTAAGTAAAATCATGTAATTATATCACTTAAATCTGTGAGTTTTAAATATTTTTACTATAAAAAGCTGATATATTATTTTTTATAACTACGTAAATTAATCACTACAAAAATATAATTTCTTGCACCTACTAAGAAAAATATTCAATATCAATTGATGGAATTTTGGTAAGCTGTGAAACATAAAATAATAGGTTCGTGTTACGCGTGTGAAAAAACTTAACGTTGAAAATGTAAATTTACATTGAAATACACTTATTTATTTATTAAAAACAGGTAGTTACCCTTTGATAAGTAAAATACAGTAAAATCTTTACTAAATATCACAATTAAAACGATAAAACAAAAATAAAGAAAACATTTGATGGGAACGAAAATTTATTTAAGGTGTATTCATATTATTCTGATATTTTCCTAACAATTATTTTAACTAAATGTGTTAAATTATATGAATTGGCACGTAACAAACGAATTATTTGCAAATATATGTACTAATAATTATCTCATGAAATTTGCAACTTTTATCGAAACTAATTTTTATTATTTATTATTTACGCTCGAGGAGGCGGCCACCTATAGTGTGTGTATCTTATATCGACATAAAATCATGAAGTAAACTCTATTGGATTTGATGTTGGCAACTAAAAAAGTAGTACAATAAGTCCATCTAATCGGCATACCTTGAGTGTTTCTTGTACGGAATACGTTAAAAAGTTCAATTGGAAAAAGTCACTTAAACGGATCATCGTGCGTGATGTTTAAAAGTAAAACAAAATATTAATGTTGAAGCATCGATCTGTTTTCTTTAATGAAGATAGAATAATTAGTAAAAACCATTCGAGATAAATAAAATTTATATATTTCTATACATTTTGTTTCGTAAATAGTGCGTATAAGTAGAACGTAATGAACTGTATCAGTTAATAAATTGTGATTCTCGGCAACGCTAAAAAGAGAATGGTAATTATTGTAAAACATTGAAAAAACTCGCTGATTAGAAAAAATATGTGATCCATTACAACCGTTACGCCCCCGCGTTCGCAACGATCTACGTAATTGCTGGAAGCCGGAACCCGTAGGTGGGAGCGATGAAACAAACACTTTGCATCTCCAAATCAACCCGAAATCTAAACGCCCACGTAACGACCCTTGAAAACATTTTACTGCCAAAGACCCGAATAACATGGTATGACGCAATACCCAGTAATCTATCGAAACCCGAAAGAGAAGAGCGTACGTAAGACGACGCGTTATTTTGAATTCGCGCGTGACAAAGATGCTCCGTTCGCCGTAAGCAACAAGCGAAAGGTTTAAATGGTTTCAACCCTTGCGGTAGCGCTGACGCGAATACGTGCCATCGCACTACCCACCCTCGCGTGCGCGTTGTTCTCCTTTCCTCCCACCCGTCACGCTCGCGGGTAACGTTCGGTACAACACGCTTCGACGGACGAAGCGCACACGTCGGATAAACAAAACGGAAAACATTGGTCGGGCGAGTGCCGGCTTACCTTTTTGGGCCTGACGTTGGGCATGAGCAGCGAGTACTTGTCCACGCGGTACGACCGGGCGCACTGCCATATGGCTGCGACGGCGGCGGCGGTCAGCCACCAGACGGCGGCGGACGGCAGCATAGCGCGCGGGACACGTGCACACGACCGCGAGGACCGGTTGCGCGCGTACGACTGAGGCCGACGGTTGGACACGGGGGCGGCACAGGTGAGTAGTACCGGTAAGGTTTCTCCGACGGACGGTTACCGCTGCTGCGGACGGTCACATGCGTGTCGGGTAGGCGTACGTGCCCGGCACCACGTAGATCGACGCCGGGTGTCCGGACCGAGGTCACCGGTTGTATTGTTGGCGCGCTACGCTCTCCGTTTCGTACCGCGTCGGTTGCGGTGCGGCACGACACTGGAACCAACTGGACCGCGATCACCGGTGTTCGGGCGAGCACTGTCAGCAACCGCTCGGCGTCACGGTTCTCCCTCTCGTTCGCGCGCGTGGTGTATAAATACGCGCGCGCGCATCCGCCGTACTTCGTTTCGTCTCGGCCGCGTGTACCGCGCGCGCTCCAGTTCGGTCACCATCAGCTAGGCGCAACGTGTGCGCGCGTCCCTCGAGCCCGCCCGCCGTTATCGATTTTTCTCGCCAGCGAATCCAACAGTTGTGCGTGGGCGACCTGCGCCCACACGCCGTCCGAAAACCGGGCGACGAGCGAGCCGCGACGTCCCGCACCATTCGACACTGCTCAGAAACTTTTCACCCCCGACCATCCCTCCCATTCATTCGCGACATTTCTCCTCCTTCCCCCCCCCCCCTCCCGAAAATCCTGCAGCCATCCGCAGCAGGTCGTTTCCCGGGACGAGGTACCACCCTCTGTGCACGGGTGCGCGATCAGGCAGCTTCAAAGTTCTGCTGCGACATACAAGAGTTATTACGTGTCCGGAATCCGTCTCGTCGTCTTCCAGAGCAACTCCGCCTGAAAATCCAACGGAAAACGGTAAGTTTTTGATCGAATATCAGTTTTTTTTTCATCCCTACTTTCCGCGGTATTGTATTCCGTTCCGCGCGACGCCTAAATCCATATGACCTATCGAACATACGCAATCAGTGGCGTCATTTAAGGGCACGGGGAACTTGTGCGTTTGCCACAGTCTAGAGTTTTGCTGTTCCAAAGTTGGTACATCATCAAAACATAAATACATTTTTTATAAAGCCACGACGTATTGTAAATTGGAAAAATGAGACGTGTACTACACGGGTATATATATGCACAAAGTACTAATCGCTATATTTTTGGACCGATTTGACATTACACTCCTCTCACTTTGGTAGCCACTGAATCGGAGATTTAATAGGAACATGACGGTTGTCCTAATCTAGGAAAAACTGAAATCACGCCACTGTCTGCAGCGTAAACGCTATTCCGATATTTTATTGTCTCTCGCGCCACGGCTAGTTTTGTTTCCGACAACTTTGTCCCTGGTTACACTTAAATATTTAAATACAACGACGCTTTTTAGTCAATTGAACAGGTGCTCATGGATAACTTCCGGTAATCCCGAACAGTCGCTAATCCAGACGACACTTCGGTCTGAAATCGTCCGAAATATGGCGATGGATTATTGTATTTTGGCTACGTGTCGACTACAATTCGTTACGATTTTAGTGTATAAGTAAAAGTCTATACAGTATACGTGAAAAGATTATTACAAAGATTCGATTCGTTTCGAAAACTGGCAACTGGAAAACGGTTATCGATTACTGTGAAACACTGAAGCCAAAAAAAACGAAACCGAAAATCTAATCGAAAAATCGTGTACATGTACATGCGCGCACGCGCGCGTGTATGTCAATATCGATCAAAGATATGATATTTAAAATATTCATAGAGAAAAACCACTATTATCGACCATGATAAAAATCGATATTAATTGGATATTATATCGATAGAAAATAAAAACCGAAAAAAACCGAAAACTACGTGGCTGTATATGGCGGATATATAGGATTATGATCCAGTGTCCACAAAATGGAAACAACACACGCATCGCGCAAAGGTCAGCGTTGGAAACAAAACAAACGAGGCCGTAGGCAGTCCGAGGTCTTTGGTTGAAATATCAGCTTTTCGCGTGGCAGAAGGGGGGGTGGAGGTGAAGGCATAATTAAGCAACGAAAAGTCAGGGTACTCGAAAAACATATTTCATTTGGTCATGAATTATGATTATTAGTGCAAACGAAGAAAAAAAAAGAAATATTGTTTAAGTATATTAGACCACGATATTATCGTCTTATCGTATATATATGTATATATATATGTAGTGAATATTTATCGAAAAACTTTATCGATATTTTCAACTTATCGATGTATCGTTGATATCTCTACGCGTGCGCACTTTAGTGTGTCTACGCCATCAATCTGCGCACTACACCAATGGTAAAATTTACTTAGTGAGACTCGCACACACACACTCTCACATTTTGTACCCATTATCGTAAAGATTATTAAAAACATTTTGGAGCGATCCGACTTCGCCCGGTCTACTTTTCTGTCTTTAGTATTTCTCCATTCTTGTAGTTAATATTTTGTTGTTTATTTTATCATCCAGCTTTTCAGATAAACAATAACTATATAAGATTATTGGAATAATCGATAGACCTCCAGATTTATTTAATTTTTCTTTATTCTTCATTCTCTATAAAGGTACAACATCATCAATTAGCTATAGTATTTTGCTTTGTACATTTTAATTTTCTCTTCGTTTCTTTTTATCACCAATCAGCAGATTAAAGCAGTAAGCAGATGCGTTAACGAATTCGTTGTCCAGGAACAAATGATATTATTATTATTAATTATACCATAACGAACAAAATATTGTCAGAATTAAATTGTAATAAATTTACTATATATCGTCTATTTTAGGTATTATTTAAAGCCAATTTAAATATGTCTTCAACGGAATCTGAAATACAAATGGAGAATATTGGGGAACAATTCACAGAATATTATTTCGTGAATCCAGAAGATGTACTCGAGTAAGAAAATATGAAAATAATACGAAAAGCGTATTTATGATTTTTAAAAAATATACGAACTAATTAATAATTTTATTTTTATAATAAGAGATTTTGCTCCATGCGATGTTACTTTAAAAGCAAAAGACGGAGGTCTTGTACATGCTCACAAATCTGTGCTATCAACAAAATGCGAATATTTTGACAACTTGTTTATCGAAAATTATGAAGAAAATAATGTGTTTAATTTTGAAGAACTCAGTTTTATGGTTTTGAAAAGACTTATCAATTATATTTACACTCAGGAAATGCCTTTTATCAACGAATTAAATGTTGAAGTAATAATTTTTCGATATTTTTCAGTATGCTATTATTTTGTTGTTTTTTTTACTTATATTTTTTTTAAAAAAATGTTCTAGGAAATGCTACGCGGAGCAGAAATGTTCTACTTAAATGAAGTAGGAATAGAATGTGTCGATATACTTTTGGATCCTTTTCACGAAGATAATTGTTTAGGCATTAAAAATAATAAAAAACCCTGGAGAAGAAGTTACGCTGAAAAAAACTTCAAGTCGGTTGCATTAAAAAATACATCGTATACGTAAAATGTTATGATTAACACACATTGTTTTAATTGTTTGTAGGTTAGTAGCAAATTCTTCCGGGTTTCTGAAAAAAAATATTAAATACATATCAAAATTAATCCAGAGCAGTTGGTTATTAGCTCAACAAGAACAAGACGTAAGAGCTTAAAATCTAGTCATTATAATATCCTTTTATTTTTCATTTCTTCTGATTATTACCGATCATCCACCCGTTTTCCGTCTCTATTTTCCACATGCCCCACATACACATACACACACTACCTCTGTCTCGTATCACTAATTATACGACTCAACTATAATCTTTCTTTACCTTGACTCATTCTATGTGATTTCATTGTTAGGCTATATTTTTTACCCTTTATATTATGTATACATTCTTTATTTCCAGTGTTTTCTAATCACGTAACAAAATATTGTTTATTTCACGTGATCTCTGTTGCACTCATATCCCGCCTCGTTTCCATATATACTGATAAAGTTTTTATCCATTCCAAGTTATTAGCATTTGGAGTGAAGGTTAAATGTGCTCGGAACAATGTGTTCCAAACCAATATGCCATTTATTAATGTACCTATTTACATTTGTATCGTGCATATTATAAATAATTGAAGATTTTTTAATCAAACCAAACGTCCGTAGGTATACGATGCTATCATAAAATGGATAAAATACGATGAAAAGAATCGAAAAAAGTTTTTGCCAGAATTGTTATGTAAAGTAAAGCTAGTGCTTATTCCGCATGAATATTTGACCGAAATACTCAATGATCCGCTGATCAAAGAAGATTCAGAATGTGAATTTCAATATAATAATATTTTTTTGATAACTAACGATCTTAGTTGATTATTAAATAATTGTTATATTTAGGTAAGAATCTCGTTGAAGATGCACGCAGACATTTTATTCTTAGAAACCCTAGAATGTCCGATTTCGAAGGTCCGATTTCCATGCCTGGAGTTGAACAATTGAAAATTTTTCAACAGGTAATTTTTAGTATAAATATTATCTACGTGCATGATATAATTAATGTGCATAATATCCTATAATTAATGAACTTACCTCACATATATACCCATGTATAATATACATATACATTTTTTTTTTAACAAACTAGAATGAAGACGAAAGCCCGAGTAAATCACTTCTGCCACGTTATAAATGTGTGGAAACAGATTCTCCATGTTATGGAAAAGTGTCAATCAACATTGCTAGCACGTTGAATGAAATGCTATCTGAAGAGTTCCAAAGTATTGAGTGGATTCAGGCAATGGATGAGACCAACTTTCTTAACAATTGGGACGAACAATGGAAAGATCTTAAGCCTTAAAAATTTGATAACAACAATGATCGACGGGCGCGTTTTTATTTTGATATTATAAAAATAACAATTATTTATACCATAAGAATATTGTTTACGTTATGTTAAAGCTATATGCAGGGCTATTCAAAATGATTCATCCGATTTCAAATGCTTATATATTTTTAAGTTTCCATTATACAGTAATAAAAAATACATTAAATAAAAGAAAAATATTTAATTTTTAATTAATCAAACTTACACATTTTCAAAATGAGCTCTTTAGTCACACGATCATATAATCGGTAATCGAATTCGTTCTGTATTTGTTGCAGCAATTTACCTTTGCAAATGTTTTCACCGCTATTGTAATTCGATTTTTTAGCTCATCAATGGTTAATGGCCATGATGAAATGTGCACGTTATCTTTAACATATTTCCAAAGGAAAAAATCACATGGCATAAGATCCGATGATTTAGAGGGATAATAGCAAAGTGACAAATCATAAGACCAATTTACAACTAATCCAACGGTTGGGGAGTGGTTCCTTTAAAAAGCCTAGTACATCTAAATGCCAGTGTTGGGTGGTACTCCGTCTTATTGATAAACGTTGTAATCAGAATCAATTTTAAATCTTTGAAATACTCACGTTTAAACGTAATGATGGTTTGCTTTACCATCTAAATGGAAAATTACTTCCGTCTCTGTAAACTAGGCGAGAAGCAACATTTTCATTTCGCATTACCTCCAGCGTAAAATTATTAAATTCGAGACATTTCAATTTATCTTTGGACTTAAATGCATGTTACAGTTATAACCTGTATGATTTTATAGCCTTCTAAAAACACGCCTAATATTATTTGAGTAATTACCAGTTCTCGACTTGCGCGGTTGGTTGATTTACACTAACTGTGTTGAAAACTGTCTCTAATTCTTTCCACATCGTTCTCAAATACGCATTTGCCTTTGCACATAAACTCTGTATCTTTAACCTATTTATACCATCGGCGTATGTCCTGAGCAGTCGGTACAACGGTCCCGTAACCACGTCGAAAATTGCGTTTCACAGTTATTACAGATTCACACTTTAAAAATTCTATCACACAAAGTGCTTTGTGTTGTCCGGTCATTTAAGGAAACCAACCTATCGCCGTAAGCGATCATTTTAAAATAACCAATTAATTATATTCTATCCTTCTATCCTATTATATCCTTCTAAACTAGGAGATACATACTATAAATCGGTATTAAATTCGATAGTGATTTCAATTAATCATTATATAACTACTAGAAATCGATTGAATCATTTTGAATAGCCTAATATTATAATATAATTTAAAACGTTTGAAAAGTACGTACTTAATATACCTTATCTTATCTGTCCAAGACATTAAAGTAATGGTACTTATGTCTATAATTACTAATTAGATACATTTAGGACAGTCTATACAAAATTAAAATACGAGTATCTTTAAGTTGGCCAACCTAAAGGATAAATCGAATTAATTAGTGACACAAATAAAATTATGGAACTAGGTAGGTACTTATAAAAAATTATTAGTTATGAACATTTTCTAGGTTTTTTAGTCCAAAATTTGGAAAATCACTTCCAATGATTATAATAACGCTAACTGTTGCTGTAGTTTTGAATAATTAGAGTTTCAAACAATAATTACACATAGGTATATTGGGATATTGATGTAGAAGGTAAAATATTAATGATTCCCATCGTAGTAAAAGTAAATAGTTATTAATTAGTTCTAATTATTTTGAAATATATATAGTTGCCTAGAACTAGATTATATAGATTTAAAAAATTATTGTATAACCTTTCGGTTTAGAAAAACTACGAGTACTATTCACATCAAAACAGGATTACGAAATCGTGAAAACAATCACGAACGAACAAAGAATAATTAATTCGCATTTTGTTATTCATAAAACGCAAATATATATTAATATCTAAATTAAATTTTGATTTAATACTTATTTAAACTCAGATTTAAGTAAAAAAATTCGTTTTTAAGAATCATGCGTGGTTTTTCTCATATATCAACGTCATTTCTTAAGACAAAATAATTTAACCATTATTGATTAAGTAAATCATAATTAGTTAATAATTTACAGTAGAAACTATAGCCCGTTGAGAAGTCAAACCTTATCAGAACATCTGAAATACTAAAATTCGTTTATGATATTAAATAGTAATACATATTTTATTATAAGTTAATATAAGAAAAGTAAGAATTAAGAAAACTATATTGTATACAAAATAATAAAAAAAATTTAAATTCTGTTTAATACTACATATACTACTATATATAATACTCTACATATGTACTAATTATTTGGCAAATAAATAATGATAAATAATGCAGTGTTGTGATTTATATCAAAGATTAGTTGTGTCGATAAAGCTAAAAACGCTTTTATTTAATATTACGCTTAATACGATCGTACAAGCTACGGTTTGACCAATACCAAAATATAACATACAAACTCAAAAACATTGATCATTGGTCCGTGATGATGGCTGCTAAATACTTGTTTACCTGTTGAAGTTTCAGTGTGAATTCCTGATTTCAAGGAACCCCGTGTTTTAGTCGTAAACAGTAATTTTTCGTCCAATCATTTGTCAAAAACTAACATGCAATCGAGAAAATAAAATTATCATTGCTTTATTACTAAAGACCAAAGAATATTCAAGCATGTTTTAAAAAATACTCCCGATGTACCTAAATGTACCTAAATAAAAATAAATACCGGTACGATATCAATATACCAGGAAAATTTTTCGTTCCTCTGCAATTACTTGTAGAGAACAAGCAAGGGGTATGTTTTACTTAAAATCTTATGTAGATCACTAGGTACACTCGTCATCTAGGTCACTTGTACATCTGAAAGTAATTAATTCATGTATATGAATCATTATATCCTGGAAAACGATAAAAAAAGAAACAATGATGCAATGCGTTAACCTTATACCTACATTAAATAATTGTGACTAGATATCATATTATAATGCAATATAATGAAATAATATTAAATATCGTATGTATTGATCACGTACGCATAATGGCAAAAATGTCATAGTTAGGTCTCAGAAGTTGTTACATTTGCAATTTAACTGATCCAACTGATTATATATACGTTTTAAAAATCAAACAAGATTCAACTTCATAAACAGTACCAACAAAAACTACAAAAATAATCTAAATAAAATATTAAAACAAAATAATTTAGTTAAAATGTAATTATTAATAACATAGTGAACAAATTAAAAATAAATAATTCTGAAATAGTTTCAATAGATAATTAGATTCTAAAGTTGCAATTTTATTGATTTAGTATTTAACTGACGATGAACTTTTAATTTGAAACCGGTCATACTTTACAAATATAATTATCCTACAGACAAAACATTTATTTATTTATATACTAAATACATAGATTAGGTAACTCATAAAAAAAAATAATAATAAACATTAATACTGATTATTTTAAAAAAAAATAAAATACTTATGATTTCGTTGAAAAAAATAATAAAATTATTATAGAACTAAGTACAAAATTATTTTTCGACGTTAATTATGTATACACATCCATTCATAAACATAAAATAGTAAATATTTAAAAAAATAAGCTTATACGCACTAATAAATTCATTACCAAAGAAGTACAAGAAATTATTAATTCAATAAATATGATCATTAATCAAAACTATTTTCGATACAATAATAAATTACACTATATTCTCAAAAAGAAGGATTATTTATGGGTGGACTTTCAAGTGCTATTTTATCTAAAATGTATATTCAAAATTATGAAACCAATAATATTATTAATAAAAAAATATTCAAGCTATATATAAAAGCATATTATAGATATTTTGATGTCATATTTTAATTTTATTTAGAGATTCAAACAGAGAAGCAGAACATTTAGATCTAAATTAAATAAAGAAAAACATTAAACTTACACTCAAAATACAAATAAATAATAAATAGTATTTTCCTAGATCTTACAGTGCACATAATAGAAAAAAAAATAACTCGGTCAGGATGTAATTTTATTGTATTCGATTTGAATGCAATAATTGCATTCGATAAAAAACGATTCTGAGCGGACGAGGGAAACTTTTTTTATTTAATTTTATTCGTTTCTATGGTGATAAATAAAGCGTTTTAAGAACAGCTTAAGAAAGATTTATATAAATAGGTAATTTATATAATTATAATTATAATTTATAATTAGGAAATTTTATAAAAATGAAAAAAATATGAAATAAAATAAAAAGCTTAAAAGTCTCTCAAATGTTTTGAAATTTTTACCATGTCTAGGTAAGGATAATAAAAATGAATAACCAAATTTCAAGTTTTAACGAATGTTTTTAACCAAATTACAACAAAAAAACTCCCAAAATTAAAATGGCTAACATTTTTTGAACATTAAACCGTAAAATCCGGAACAAAATCCAAAATACAACAAAAAAAGATCTCTTGTTATTTTTCATTTGAAGCAATATTTCTGGTAGAAAACGTCGTCCGTAATTATTTAATATTATAAAATCGTGAAATCGTACGTTTTTTTCCTTAAACCGTTTCGAAAATCGAGAAATGACCTTCCTAAAGTACCAGATTAAGAACATTACCTTTCAGAAAAGATGCTACACTTGATACTTTTGAACAAGTTTAGAAAGAGAAAAAGTGTTTACAGAATAAAAAATAAAAAGAAATAAACATCAATGTAAAACCATTACATTCCTCACTCTGCTCAGAATCTAAAATTTAAATTTAGTGTTTACAGTAAACCTTCATAAACTGATGCTAAATAATACATGATTATAATCACCCATATTCTTAAAGTATATCAATTTTAAATTCGATATTCTATAGTTAAAATATTTTTAAATGTTGATAATTTTGATATAGACTCTTGGAAAATTAGATTAAAACCACTATTCCAGTATTGATATGAATTATTATTTTAAAATATTTTGTATAATAACAAGTTTTTTTTTTTAAATAGTTATTTTGGAAAATAAAAAAATTTGATAAAATGTTTATCTACAACTTTGGGTATTTTACAGCAATAATGCAATTTTTGTATTATTTTTTTCTACAATAATACCATCAATTTTGATGCTTTATAGTGCAATAATTTCTGAGTCCTAGTCATAATTAACGATCAGTCTGACGTCAACGATCTAGCACAAGGCTAAAATCAAGTTTGCAATAGACCTGGGACTTAAAAAAATGTTTTTTTTTCATTTTATAAATAAAAAATACATTTTAAAATTCGGAAGGAATATTTTTTTCAAAAATATAACACATCGGATTCGCTGACCACACCAGTCTTCAACGTGCTGTTTCGTAGCGAAACGGACGAATGTGCTAGTGAACTTCGAGCTTTTTCAAAACGTAGGTACCGTTACCTTTGATTTTTATTCGATTAGCGATTTCCGTACGTAATATATGTGTACAGTACTAATATATATTAATACGTACCACAGATCATGAACGTAACTAGAGAGTTTGGAAGTTTAGCCTCTCAAATATTAGCCACTTCTATCATATATTTTAGTCGCATTAATAGTAGCTGGATTTTTAAGACACATCAATTTTATAACTATATGAGCAATCATATTAATTTTGTTTTATTTGCAAGAAAAATCTTTAAAAAAATAGTACATTAGGAAAATATACAATATAGCAGTAGATTAAATTAATTAAATCTAGAATATACAAATAAAAAAAAAAAATTACAAATATTTCGAATAAATAAAAGTAAATGCACATCATCCGATTAAATACAATAAATTACAAAACAACTGAATTAATAAAATTCGACAAAATACATTTTTTATTAAACATTTCTAATATAAACATAAAAATATTTCAGTGAACCTACCGAAGCTACATTTGAGTAATAATAACAGAGAGGTTTAACTTCGAAGTTAGAATTCGAAAAAAGAATATTAACAATTTAAAACATTTTATTGTTATAAATCATCGATTAAAAATTAAATTAGAAAGGTTAAAAGCCTGCAAGCTTGTAGTATATCTTGAGTTATTAACTTAACTGTTCTACATAGCGATTTGTACGTAGTAGTAATACGTCAGTTCAACTCAGTTCGCAGGTGTCTTCGTTCTGGTCGTTGAGCATCTATGAGGTTTAATGTATGATCTGCGATTGTTGTGTGATGTTTGACACTGCACAGTCAGCGATGATTTCGTGATGCTGTTTCCTGCACATTCTGAAATTGATTTACATTAATGATTTACCTTGGATAATAGTTAGATAAAATGGATATTACTGTATTAGTGACGTCCGTTTTGCGGTCTCACTTATGAAAATTGTGTTTTCCATGAGATTCTCAATCCATTCTGCTTCTTTTAGTATTTGATTTCGTCTGAAGTGTATGCGAAGCAGTACTATCCACACTTGTCCGTGACTTCTAATATGACATATCATGATTTTTTTTCCACGCCGTTATAACATATATATCTGTGAACTTACTCGTATAATGTTCAAGTTGTAGTACAACATATGTATTTATACTAGTGTTTGTATAATAGACATAAAGTTCTACGTGTCCAAGTACCAAATACGTATTGGATCTAACGACAGTGTATTCGATAACAATAATTCAATGATCGTTTATATTTTATAATTGTCTTATTACAATTCCTGTACCATTTGTTTTTCACGTAAATTGCGTTTTGATTGCATAATAACAAAATATTTTCCTCGTCGACTGAGTACAGCGAACGTTTCTTACGTATAAACTTATGATAAATGGGATTGTTTAATTTACAAAATCATGTATTACTATTACAATCATTTCACAATTAATATTATTGTTTTTTTTTTTTTACAAAATGTCACTTAACATTTGAAAATCACAATTGCCTAGTGTATTAGTATATATATATAGAATACTTTATTTTTACACAGCTATAAATTTGTATCTGGTTTTATATAGTTATAACTATAATTATTATCTCTACGTAGTATTGGTGAAAATAAAATTATATATAAATGTAAATTATAATCTTAAATTATTGGCAACTTAAAAATATATATTATTGAATCATCCTTAAAAAAAAAAATAGAAAATAGGTCGATTTTAAAGTCTCAACTACTTCCGTTGTTTCAATGTCAATCGCTAAGTATTAGTTTCTGATGGTATATAGGTGTATGATTTATATTACCTAAATTGACCAGCATTAAGTCACCTTGTACCAAGATGGGCACTATTACGCGAGATACCTGAACTGAAGTAGGTACTAATACGCACATAGTACCAAATGTTTTTCAGTCAAGCCA